AGATAAATGGTCAGAGAAGCACCACACACACACACACACACACACACACAACACCTGCAAGGCTGGTGGATGCCACCACGAACGCCATCGGTGTGGCGGTAGTTTCGGGGAGAAGAAAAATTGCAATACGTTGTGTTGTCGGTCAGTCCGGTCAGTCGCGATGAGCAGCAGCATATAGAATAACTTAACAACAACTACTATAGTATCAGAATCGTTCACACGCTCTCGCTCAACAACCACAACCATTGAGGGAGCACACCGGGGGTGGGATAGGGTGGTCGGCTTTGTGTACGTCTAAGCACCGCCTAAAACGGATCAACCTGACGTGGTGAACAGGCGAGCGAGAAATGCGAACAATAGGTGTGTGTGTGTGTGAGGAATAGGAAACAATTTGCGAATAAAATTGAAACTGGTCAGTATTGAACGGCGTTCGTTGTTCGTTGTTCGTTGTTCGAATGGAGAACAATGAACGACGCAGCTTATTGCCGTGTGAAACGAAAAGCCATTTCCAGAGAGAGAGAGAGAGACAATGTTTGAAAGAGAAACCGCTGCTCATGGCTGCCCATTGCTAGACCTATTTGAATTCCAGAAGAAAAAAGAAATGTGGGAGAGAAAAACAATAATTTCCAATTGCTATTTCCCTACTCCCTTGGACTTGGTACAGTGAACCGGATTGGTTAAGCCCCTCGCCGCACCCTCTCAAAAGACTTGCACAATAAGAACAGAACAGAAAACGGGCAAAACGGGTTATTTCATTTCATCCTACGCACAGATCACAGATCAGCACAACAAAATTAGTCCACACATTCGATTTCGAGCGGAAGGTTTGTGTATAGGATAAACTCCCCGGAGTGGTTCAGCATGAACATGACGCTTGTGATTGTGACCCAGATTGATCGGAAGGTCAGAAAACAACGACAACAACAACAACAACAGGATGTTTGCACAAAATGCCTCATACTGATGTAGCTTTTCGTTGCAACGAGACGGCAGGGCGACAAATCGCTGTGTTCGAGTCTTCTTGTTGATCGTCCGCGATCGCCTATTCAGTAAAGCACTTCCACCCCGCGATTCACTGTGAGCCATCTTTGTTGTAACCTGTACAGATGAACCCTAAAGGCGTGCAATCAGCTGGGCTCACAAACTGTGAGTAACGATGTATACTACTTTTTTGGATGAATAAAAAACAATTCCCGAAAGAGGATTTAAACTGACAAAATTTCGCCTTGGCAGCGGTGGTCGTGGTGTGAGTTGGAATCAGATCTCAGGGGACGATGTGACAATGACTTCAACCACTTGACCATCACGGCCATGCACATGACCGCAAACAGGATATAGGTGAGAGTTAAACCGTACAGTTATTTCCCTCAGGGGAGGGGTGGGGGTGATATGTTTATTGAAATGGAATTGAATTCGGTTGAAAAATCACGATGCGATTTTTATGTGACTGAGTTGTTTTGTGGTCCGTTTTGCCATTTCGGCGGGCAATCGATCACGTCATACAGCAATCAGGATGGCATCAGACTGTGGATACGTCGTTCTAGTTTACACAGCTAACTAAGAGCGTTGCTATTCGGATACCAACCGCCTCTTTGTTGCGTACCGATACCCCATCTCAGTGTTCTTCTCCAATGTTATTACAGAACCAGTTTGATTGTCCAAAACCCACCGGATGGCGTGTATCACAAGAGAGCCGTGAACAAATCTCATGGAAGGCCAAGGTTCAATACGAGGTGGTGTTGCGATGAGACAGTCAACGGGGATTGTGCAAACAAAATCGTACACGTCTCAAATAGAATTAAATAGTCCCAGATGTGGATTGACCACGGGTAAACGGATTTAGTCACAAGGGACGCGAAAACCTCTGTGAGTGAAACAGCGCCAGGAAAGACGAGAGAGGGAGAGAGAGAACATTGAGGCCAAGCACATTCGTAATTTTTGTGGTTTTCTGGTGACAGAGCTCGTTCGTCATGGGTGATTTGGTCTACGGTAGGCAAACAATCTCTGTGGTATAAAGATAGAAGATCATTTGAAGGATAGAGGCAAGTAGAATTAGGACTGTCCACGTCAACCATCCCCAAACAAACTGTACGAAAAGTAGTGCTAACAATCTGAAATCGTGAGGATGACCAACAAAGAAATGGTCAATCATGAGACGATTATTATAGCTTCCATTTGAGGGAGAACAAATGGATCAAAAGTGTAACGATTCGCTTATTTGGATTACTACTTTATTTCGAATAATCACGTGATCAGAAAATGGACAGAAAGAGTGAGAAAAATACATGAACCAAAGACTGGATATGGGAGTATCAACGAAATCAAGCTGCGCAACATGCGGACGGTATAATTGTCTAACTCTTGATATGTTGTTTTGCTTGGATTTAAATTCAATTACTCAGCTTGTGTATACGTATATATAGATGTAAAGCAATAAATCTGAGAGAGAACAAGGGCGTGTAATTCACGAGCATTTGAAAACTCACTCAATTTGATCGGCCAAGCGGCGCAAAGTGGAAATAAACGCGACCATTGCATCACCGCACCAGTCCGGGAATCGTTCTTGCAGTTCGGCAGAATCAAAAAGCTGAAGACAAAATAATTGCGTGATACCATCAGAAGAAGAAAAAGAAATTACACATGGATAAGCGTACTCGAACTAGCGGCACACAATGTTGCATGAAGGTGAAGTAAAAAGCATCGAACAGCTAATTATCCTTCTGTTCTGGATGGGACTCGATCCTCGAACCCACGGGTTGGAGGCCGAAGCTCTTTCTAGAAATCTACAAGGCAAGCATTCCCCGTACGTGGGTGGAGGTGTGAATTGACAATTTTACTTTGACTTTTTCTTGTCATCTTGCAGGTCAATTCCAAGATTTGGATTCAGTATTTTGTTGTGTTTCCATTTGCGTAATGAATACGTTCGATACATCCAACGAGATGTGTCTGTATTTGCTTACTCAATCTCACCCGATTGATGAATATCAAAACAAAATTTATACGGAAATATACTTCCTACATAGCTGTCGTCGATAGTTCTTCATCGTAAATAGATCACTTTGTCAACAGTCTGCGATATCATCCAAGACGAAAACCCAATCATATCCGACGGACTATTTCATCTGTGCACAGTCAACTGTTATTTATTGTATACGAGGTTCATTCCTCATACTGACATGCAATGCGCCTGTAATCTCGCCTCTACTTTCACTAACGAGGAGTTGAAATCGGAAAATCGGAGATTCAGCTCAGTTTGTACAACCGTTAAACTTGCACTACCATGCGTCGGTTTTGGTTGCTGTCTTTTGGCTGACCATTTAGATGAACATTAGGAGAAAGACAGGAAAGGTTGAAAGTANATTTCAGTGAAATAATGTTGCAAAGAAATTGAGATGCACGAACGCCACTGTTTACAACATTCATCATGACGAGACTGCACCTTGACGCGGTGTGCTGGTTTGTGTGCTTCCATGATCCTGCGAGCTAAACAGGATGTCTTTTTACAGCCGTAGATCCAATCATGACTGGAGAGTCAACGGGTAGAGACCAGACAAAAACTCAGTCTCACAAGGCCAGCTGCTTGGGCACCTCCTAGCTTCCTTCCTTCGTCTATCGACAGCCATTGCCTTGTGTATCGAAGGCCCCAATTAGAGTTCCCCAAGAAAAACCCCACAAAATCCCACTGCCTTGAAGGTCAGACTCTTGAGTCAAAGGCTCCGGTTAGGGTTCCCCACGAAAAACCCCTTCATCGGTATGGGCTACCACGGAGTATGCCGTGCCCTAAAGTCTTAGGCATCCATTTAATTCTTTCTCTCAATACCGAATAATCCCAGACAACTCCTGTTTACGCCACTCATCGAATGTCGGAGATAAAAACTAGAAATAAACTTTGATAATAATAATAATAATAATAATAAACTTTGATAATTGCAGAAACTGGGCAATTGGTATACACACATAAATGGATTGACAAATCTTTGTAATTCGACTCGGTACTTGAACGCTTCCCTGGAGCTGGTCTGTCCGTAAATGGCTTAATCCGAGTCCGTCTGTTCGAACTGTATCGAGAGCAAATGCTGAATTACCTGTGACCAAAAACACCTATTTGACAAAATTAAATCGGTTTCAAAATGTGTATTTGATTCTATTTCACGCTCACGGTCGTATTCTACAATCTCAGTAGGCGAAGTTTCGAATCCAAGGTGCCGACTCTTGTCTGGCACAAGAATCCTTTCGTCAATGTGGGGGGCTTCCGCAAGAAATATACAAGGCTTAAGTTAAACCTAGCTCATCGAGACCCCTAAGAAATCTTTCATTTCCAGGGTACCCCCCCCCAAAAGGCACAAACTAACTACCTTTTCGATACACTAGATGTATCAGTCGCCAGATAAAAAATGCTCCGGGATATACTGAACAAGTTTCGCGATTCGTGGAATCCAAGTAACGCTAAGCGCGTTGAGCTCTTCACACGAAAGCTCATAATGGCCAAAAAATAAACCAGAGAGGAATACAATATCATTCGATTGCAAATACACACCAATGGTACACGGTACATGAATGTCATTTGAAAAGCCGCCAGAGTAACAATGGTACAGACCCAACATGAAACTTCGATGATGTTCATTTTTGTGGATCTATAAAATCATTGTGGGTCGAACAACAAGGTAACCATAAAAGTGCTTCAACGAGCACCACCCACGTGGACCAAGACTCGGGGGAAGGACAGGAGTTATTCAAAGCTTTATTATTGCTCAATAGGTTGAGACTAAACACCCGATTGACAATCATTCGGTATTTGTCTATCGAGTTCCATTTCACCAGAACCATCAGGTTACGAGAATTAACACTGATCTACGCAGAACTAAGCTGTACGCGCAACAGAAACTAACCACACAACGATTTTGTCATCCATGGCTAACACTCCATCGGTGAAATAGCCGGGGCTAATTGGTATCGCTTGCTCACACACACACACAAGCACGCGCGCACACACATCCCTATTACATCTCATACAAATGTGCATGAAATGATTTCACAATGAATTAACCAAAGATATAACTTCATCTACGGTACCATCTTATCCAACATCAACAGTTGGAAAGAAGGATGAAGGGTGCAACTGGAAGTACAGGAATTAAGCATACGAGTATAGAAATCATTCTCCAATCAGTGTACCCCATCACTACGCTCTCTTTTTGTTAGCAGACCTCGTTTACATATTGTCTAATTGTCAAATGACAGGCCGGTTTCAGTGTGGATTATTTAAGTCTAGAGGCATTGACGATGATACACATGTGAGTTCAAACTGCACATTGTAAGCAATACTCAAACAGACACAAGGAAGGCTGTGGAACTTACCGGTTTTTCAATTGACGCGTGACATGACACGTGCTCTTGACATTGATCCAACGCATCCAACATGATCTCCTCGTAAGCTATCGGCTAGACAGGAAGCGAGAGAAATATACACCGGAAGAAGAAAAATCACTGTGTATCTTTCGAATCGATACTATGAACATTCCGGATGGTGTTTGCGATTCATAGTGTGATCACAACTGAGATACGGCAAACATTCACTCGGTTTACATAAGAAAAAATAAAACTGATTGGGGGGGGGGGGACGAACAACATGATAAGACGGTGCAGTTTTGTTGTCCGTGTTGTGTTTGTACAATGCACGCAGATTTGATCTCCTTGTTTTATTTTGTGTCTGTTAGTTAGCCAGTTGGTGAAGACCGGCGTGGAGAGGGGGGCGGGGGGGAGCATGGACACTGTAACCATATTTACACCACCGGCTTCAAGTTGAGATCACGCGCAACCATATGCATGATTGGAGAGAATACGAATACCACTACGCAAGAACCGGAATCTTGAATCCCAAACTATGCTCCATGAAGCAGTGAAATATTAGTCACTGAATGATTTGAGTTGATTATTCTCTCTCTCTATGGCATGATCATAACCAAGTCCGCAAACGGCTGGAAAGAGAGAGGGAGAGAAATGTAGTGGTTAGTGGAGTGAGCTCCAACACTTGGGCATCCCTTCCCTGTTGGTCATTTACAAATTTGAACAGGATGCAGTTTGATATCGGTGAACGGTCGTGGGATCACGGTATAAGCACGTCAACGTAACCTTGATCAACGCTTCGTCAATGAAGCATCTACAACTACACTACTGATATTTCTCGAGTAGCACATGAATAGCCGCGACGAAATCCTACGAGTCTGGACACGTCCGTAATTGTATCCCGGATAAAACATCAGCTACCCAGGTTGGAGTAATTCGCCAATCAATCTATGCAAAACGATTCAAACTCGACCAAACACACGCAATATACCTCAATATGGTTACAAAGTTCGCCTCAGATCAGGCCATTTGTGACTGTGGGGCGCAGGGGGAGGCTCTCTGGCTCGATGCGAGAACCAAGATCATGTGTGTTCAGGAGCCACTTGGGTGGTCACTTAAGGTTGATGGAACATGTTGGCTGTACTAGTTGATCGGGCTGGCATTGTGCTACAAAACCAGGAACAGCTTGACGAACGCCGCGCAGTTGACAAGAGAGGTAAAAAAGAGACTTAATTCATAGGGTTTATGCGAACAAATGTGTTTGCATCACCCGGCGATATTCCGAGGACAAATAACGTGCCAGTGAAACGCAATCGTGTTGCATGATTCCCGCTGCAGTTCGACATTCATGAACGTACCAAGTCGTCCAGACTCGTTGGTGCAGAACGGCTACTATGTAGGAGACTGTTGTCGGACAAACGAATGGTTTAGGTGCATTTGATGAAGAAAGAAATGTCCGATCCGGCGCGTCGAGTAAAACGCTTCATATTTTTATTGGTTGCTGTGTATCGTTTGCAAATCACCGAGTAATTTATGTGTAACACCATCTAGGGGATCAATTTGATCCATAGTTGGATAAACCAGCTGACGATGTGACCAAGGTAATCGCAGTCGTTCAGGACAGAGACCCTGTCAATCATTTCACAACCTCTTTGTATCCTATTCTGAGTTGATTAGGTTTCACTCTACGGGGTAGGGGAGGGGGGAGGAGAGTTGTGACTGAACGCGATGAAGAATAATTTGAGGAAAAACAAATAAACAAATAAATAAATAAAAATAACAGGCAGTAAAATCTGAACTAGGAATATGTACGTGTGTTGGGCGAGGGAACAGTCAGGTGTGTGTGTGTGTGGGGGGGCTTACCGTTTTTGTCGTACCGCCTTCTATATCGTTCACATCCGCCTCCCAAGTCTCCTTCAATTGCAGTGCCTCGATAGCTGTCCAGGTGTTCCACAGAGGAAGAGGAGGACAAGGAGGAAGAAGAAAATGAACGATGAGACAGATGAATAACCAGCCAGAAAACAAATTATTCTACCTGTTACATTGGTATAAGATGAGCAAACACCTAACGCAGGAGGAATCCAGTTTGCAATAGACAAAGATCCGGGTGATCTATCGTCTTCTTGCATGAACTGAACCATCATAATGATTTAGGTGACCGGAGTCCACAATGAATCAGAGTCGAGTTACCAGGCGGGGGTGGGGGAAGGAGACCTAATCATGACGCGTTGCAGAGGTTTCAAAGGTAAACAAAAACAACGTCAGTAAAACACTTTGGAGAATTCGTCACCAATCTGAACAAAATTTCATAATAGAGGAACCAAGCAACTAAGCACATAGATGACGCAGATTTTTCACCAGACAGATAGGTGCACCAAGGGACTTCTGTTTAATGCCATGTTCAAATCGCCAACGAATGCTATCCAGTGAAGTGATACCAACTAATAAATGTNTTTTCAAGGGACGGTCGTATTTTCCAATTTCGCGTAACTTTTCCAGTTTTAGAGAAATAGGAATTACAGCACCAAGTTCAGGCGCAACGAAGTCACGATCGTGGGAGTGGGGGTTATTTCTGAAGGATATATATATATATCCCGCTAACGAGAACAAATTTATCACAATCCACAAGGCCTAAGATAAAATTCAAGCGGAACTGTTGGATAGAAATCGATTTGACTATCCAGTAAAGACAAGTAATTAGGTTATGACAACCTGGATGGGTGGATATGCCCGGTGTGTGTGNCGACGGAAGATACCACGAACCGCGTGTCGTCGAAGATCGTGTGCCAGACGTGAGAATACATCACTGATCTCTGTGGGAAGATCACTCAAAGGCAAACTGTTCAAACATGTCCTGAAGGAGAGCAAAATTGAGTGAAAAAAGAAGAGTCAGTACAGATCTGAAAGAGGAATCCACACAGCAGTGACCGTCTCTGGAAAGGATCACCTGCATAGGAGAGACATGTGGACATAGAAACGGGGGAAATAGGAAAACGGGGACTTTGACTAGTCATATTTTTACTTTATCCCAAAATTCTCGCATTTGTCAGTTTTCGACAGGACCCTGAATGATTCATAACATTCAAAGCAAGTACTGATCACATTATGCAATCAATGCGATTCAAAGTGGTGGCTTATTCATTGGTCTAGACTTCAAAATGAAAACTGACTGTTGGAGTGGATGCACATCGCCCGAAATGAATTGAGCGCACATCCCAAGGGGCTGGGCTGTTGGATTCATAAATTATTGTGCCCGGGTTCGAATCCCAATGGATTATCCTCATATATGGAATGCGAATGATTCTGAAGAACCATGAACCGGCCTCCAGAGCTTTTCAGTGATGAGTGACATGACACAATTTACTTTTACCAACTACTGCGAGCCAAAACGAAGATTCTTAGAAATCTAATATCAGGAAAAACGCACACTTTCGATCAGAACGAACTACTTCGGAAGCAAATTTTTGTGAAACGGACACGCGCGACCATTCGCTCAAACATAAACCGCGCAGAACTGACCGAAACTCGCGAATACATTCGGGTAACCAGTTGGTCACAGTCGCTTCCGAAGCTCCACCGGTCCCCACGGATTCCAACACCTCTTCTTGCACACTACTGGACAAGAAATGAACCAGTTCCAGATTCAAGTTCTGAGTCCAATTAATCCCGTTTATGTAATACACACGCATCAGGTGTGTCCGGGGTGGGATGGAAGAAAGGGAAAGGCATGCGATTTCAGTGAGAAAAAGAAAATAATGATCTGGAAGAAATGGAAACATGATAAGAAGGAAAATATTCATTCATTAATTCATTTCTGTCATTCCTCAGTATTAAAAAAGAGTGTAATGTGCACAAGTGAAGAGAGACAAAAACCTCCTTTGATCACAACATCGAACACGATAACCCATACGGACTAGGAAGGCAGTATTAGGATGCCAGCTTCGGTCTGGTTCGGTTATCACAACTGGTAACCATGCACTTTCGTGCGGGTGCGTTTGGCGCGCCGAAATACCGAATACTTTATCTACTTTTTAAAGAGAAAATGGTTGCCTTATTATGAATAATTCTTTCTATTTAACCCATATACACACTGATAAGTTTGCATACTGAACAGGAGCCAGGAATAAATAAAAACATCGTCATTTACATGGACAGCTTATCTTCGAGTATGGTTTCCTCACGCGGGTTCGAATCCCATCCCCGTTGTTACTTCGCTTGCGTGGTAGGCAATGGAACGATTTAGGCCCTAAGGATAGAGATTTTTATCCTGTAATCGACACCCGATTTTAGTGGTTGGCAGGTTAGCTGTCGCGTCCGGTTCATCACAATACCTATTCTTTCTTATGTGTTTCGCCAATCCAAATCATTCGGGTTAGGTTGCGAATTATCATGGATGAACAGTTTCGAGGCTATTTAACGGGTTGATCCAGTCGTTTTTTATTGCAAAACTTACAGTGCTGATGAGTGAGTGGACGGAACGAATACGACGAGGTACAGAGATCAAAGATTCGATTGCACAAACTCTCTACGCCCGGAGAGACGAAAAACAACACAACACTCCTGTGGGATGTTGAGCCGGACGAAGAATAATCGACCTATACACCAAGGTTAAGGATTCGTGAACNCACTCTGAGGGGTCGGACACCGGAACGATTAGGTCACTCACCAATGTAATGGTTTCACACCTAGCTGAAACAATTCACACTATGGACGTGACCGAGGTTTTCCGCTCCTTATATAAAGTTCGTGGGCGATTATCGGATACTGGCCAAAACAGATGCGGTTGACATTCGTGTGCATAACCCCCTCCCCCCCACACACTCTGTGCGCCCAAAAACAATTTGAGCAAGCGCTTAAGCTACCCTAGCCCACTCCAAACACACGAACACCAGTGTCATCAGTAATCCCGATGATCTCGATGAGTGAACAGACAAATATGCGATCATGGTGAATCCGATTAAATCGTTTCTAGTTAGATAGGATGTGATTTTATTTTCCCAAGACAATTTCATTCCTGAGTAGTGACAGAATCTCTGAGAACAATGTTTTGCGGCATTTTGTTGTTCTGTTTGAAATGTGCTCTGTGAGACTTCAGCCAGTGCATTTGATACATCTGTGAATAACCAATTAAACGGCTAACCCATCTGGTGTTTGACACGAATCAGGCACTGAGGTTTTGTGGGCATAAGAACCAGGCTGAATTAATACACATCCAACCACATACTGCCTGAGTCAGTTTCAGGTTTTTACAAACATTACAAACATGCACCTTCGTGCGGTCGTTTTGGTTGCCTTCCTAAGGTTTCACATTTGGATAAAAGAGCCCGGAGGAGATTGGAATTTTGGGAATAGGAGAGCAGGGAAAATTGTTCCGACGGGGGACCGGGAAAGGGAGGTCAAACGAGAAACGAATCGTGTAAGCGGGGAACCATTCTGTGAGTTTTGGTTAATTCAATATTTAACTGATTTGAATAAGGTCAGTCCATACACAGCGTAGATAACTCAATGAACAGATAAGCAGTGAAAAACTAAATCGTTCTTTGCGTGTCTATGACGTGTGGTCATCAAAGAAAAGTTCACGTAAACTTGGCGACACGAATCCATAGACACTGAACTCGAATTTGGTACAGTCGGTGAGGTATGTGGAGAACGACAAAAGAAATGGTTGTTCTTTTCGAAAAAAAGGAGAACCATTTGAAAGATTATTTGATGAAAACGATCGTCCACGCTCGGCACAGAGATTCGGAGATCTCATTCACTGATAAGCAATAATGATGCACGAAATTATCAAGAGTTACTCTCTTTATCTCTCGCTCTGTGTGTGTGTGTGTGTGTGTAGAATAGGGAAACCAGGGACGAATACGACAGTCAAGTTTGAAAATTTACAAGTTCTTTTTGTAAGTCAAAGAAATACGGAACGATGCAGTGCAAATACTCCCAACAAATCGGCATTATCGACAGGTAGCTAGAATTGAACAGTTTTCCTTGGTTAGGAGTTGATAAAAGAGGTCTGACTGTTTCTGCCATATGATGGACAGCCAACAACAGACCGTCCGGGAAAACCACTGTCTGTACCGTGTCCCAAAACTTGCTTTTGTTGTTGAACAAACGGACACGGATTTCCGAAACTAAACAAAGTAATCCGGGTAGTCATTATTACGCAAGCGGTGGATGACCTCCACATATTGTGGTCGATGGAGCAGGTGTTACGGATAGGGGCTTCATCAACAAACAGGATTTACCGAGACAGAGAGAACTACAAAGGTGGTCGAAATAAGTCTGACCATGATAAACGGATTTGCTGATACAGGTCTCATCCAATCTTCTGATTGGGGACTCTGTGATCGACCTAACCAATATATATATATATATATATATATATATATATATACTTGTCTGAGGACAGACTGT